CAGCTAAAAAGTATCTTAGCATCTTTGCCATAATATTTTGGGTTTTAACTTTGATTAAGGTCCATATTTGTAGCTCTGTCAAATTCCACATGAAAATTGCCATAAAGGAAAGAGGAAGGGCCAGACTGTTCTTCCTAGTAACAAATGAAACCCGTTTTCTCTTCCCTTGTACTCTTCCTGCTTGTGGGTGCAGATGTGCCTACGTCAGCATAACAAACAGGTTTTCTGAATGCCTGGGATGCTGCTGAAACTATGTAACCATTTTAACATTGCTTTTCCCTCAACAATTGCAGGAAAGTAGTCCATCCGAAACAAGTTATTCCTACTTCTATTTGTAAGGGCTGGCATTTAATCTTAAAAAAGATAACAGCAACAGAAATCCAAAATGCAGTTGTGTAAAGTCTTTTCAGTTACTGCTAAGGCTTGCATGGTTGTTAAAATTCTGCTGAGTATGGAGCTATGGAGCTGTTTTGAGAAAATATGGCATTGAGGAGCTTGTCGAAGAGGAGGTTAGTGACAGCTTTGACTGCTCTTCCTAAGGATAAGTTGCTGTCTGATAGATATTTATCCAGTGTCTTATGAGTTAGTTAAAAGGAGCCAATATGGGAGTTGGAAGCTGTGTCACCCGACAAGTGTGTGTAGATTCAACTTGTACTGCATGAGTGCATAGATGTATATGTATTTATGTATATGTATTTAAGATGTTGAACAGGACGGATACCTGAGGATTGCATTTTTGCATTAATACCAGTGATTACTGCTGTGGTGCAGTTGCCTTGTAACTGATGTAAGGCTTCATATGGAAGAAGGAAATCAGGGATCTCATTAGCGTAGTACCAATTAGCCCGTGATAAAGGCAGTGTCTCGAGTAATCACTGCCTCCACATGTGTTCCTGCTTCTGTTACACACTGATCTCCTGAAGGTAAAGGAGAAGGTCTGTACAGGGCGCTGCAGCTGACCACCGTGCAGCTCCTCCACGTCCAGACACTTTTAGCCTAAACAGGTCTCACCTGGGCAGCAAAATGGAAAGCAGCAGGAGCTTTGAGAACCTGTGCACTGCTGCTAATGGGCCTCTCGGTGTTCACCCATTTGTGTTTTCTAGTAAATTTGCTTCACTTGTACTCAAGCACAAGCCTGGGCTACCTGCGGCATGAGAATTAAGAGCTAGTACAAATACGGTTTGGGCTAGGCTGTTAATATATTACCGCTTGGGACTTGCTGCACTGCCTCTTCATCTGTGTGATGCAGTAGCAGGGCAGCTTCTGTCAAATAGCCTGCCCATTTACGTGACAATAGCCATCATTTCTGTGACAGTAGCCAGTCCTTAAATAGTTAGAGGTACTCTAGGACCGGCCGAACAAGGGCCTGAGCAGCTGGCGTTGAACAGGGCTTGGACTAGAGGAGGACTCTGTGAAGCGGCCTGGCCTCTAGCTCCCTAAAGTGCCCAAACGCCTTCCCTGGTGAGACCTGCGAGGGCAGCCGTTGTCACACACCCCTTCTGCACGTTTAGGGAAGAGGCACAGTCTAGATCAGTAGGTCAGGCTGAAACCGCTCCTGTGCCAAGACACACTCACCTGCAAAGCGGCATCGTTCCCGTTAACCGCGTGTCCAGCTGGCACAGCGCCAAACACGCGAGTTCTGGGAGAGGCGGTGTTCAGGGGCGCAGACGTTTGCACAGGCTAATTGCCCTGGCTCATCATTGCCTTTGTTTGCTGAGCCTTTGTGCTCCCAAGGCCAGCCTTAGCCTGCTGCTTGAGTGAGCCTCCGGAGACCGGGCCTCATATCCCTGCTCTAGCAGAGCGCCCAGTGCAGCCGTGCTGTACACTGGACTGACACCCTTCCTCCCATTAACGCGCCGGGCCGTCTGTCCGTGCGTGGGAAGCCGTTAGCCTGGAGTATTAGTTATCCCTTCCCAGCGAGTAAGTGCTGTTCTTCTGCTTCTAAGGATTGGGCTCCTTTGGCCACTTTGTACTGATCCCATGGCCAGCTGAGTTTCCTGGAGAAAAAAAATATTCTCAAGTACTCTGTTTTGTTGAACTCTTTTCTTATACTTAGCTTCCTGTTTGCAGCTTAGAAACAAAATATCCTTCCTGCTAATTTTATTCTTTTGTGTCTAGGAAACACTGCCGATTCTGACAACTTCTTCTTTCCAAGACCCAGTGTTAAGATGTTGTTTTTCCTCACTTCACAATGGCAAAAATGTCAAGAAGCACTGAAGTCAGGAGAAACACTCATTTTGTGTGATTTAAATCTCTCTGCAACAGAGGGATGAGTTTATTTACACGTTTTCTAATCACCATTTGAATCTGCAGATTTTTTCTGTGCTGGAATATAAGGATTTGGAGTGGGTTTTCCCAAAGGCAGCTAAAGAGATTAGATGTCAGTTTTCAGTGGAAGTTGGGGGTTATATCTTTTATACTCCCTTTTGAAAATCTCAGCGTAGGGCACCTTCCATTTTCAAACCAAACCTCCTTTAATACTGCATTGGAGAGTACCCTGAGTCTTCTGGCTTGGAAAATATCAATACGAATATAAAAACCCATGGAGTTCTTGAAGGGAATATGTTGCCAGTAAGTTCGGGAAGGAAGAAGTCCCTTGCTGCATCTTGGAGATGTGTGGGCAGTATGAGGCATTTGTCAGCACTGTAAGACCCTTTGGCTGCTCCAACAGATCACTCAGCCTACAGGCTCAGGAAGATATAATTAGGGGAGCAGACTGAAAATTACTTTCTTCTTTGTGCAAAAAGTCCTTTTTTTCCATAAAAAAGGATATTAATAAAAATGTGATGCTATTCAAGCTGCTGTAGTAATCTGCCCATGGAAGGCTTCCTGTTGTCTCTCAGGGCTCATTTTCCACTGTCTTTGTACCTCAGCTGTGGGATTGGCTTGAGCTTTGCCTCATCCCTAATCTGTAACTTGCTTCTAGAAGGGAGCTTGGGAGGAAAGGGAGGGCAAAAAGCACTTTACAAACTCTGTCTGCTACTTGGAGGGTCCTGAGTAATCTCTGCAGTACAAACCCCTTAGTGGCCAAGCTGCACGAAAATAATACCAGGTCTTTTGCATGATGTGTAGCTAGTGAGCTCTAGGATGAGACTGCTCTGAGACATGGGAGCGGTTCTTTGCTATATTAGAAAACTGTTGCTAAACCATAGACTCAGGAAAACAAACATAAGAAATCACTTACTTATAACACAAAATAGAACGAGCAACTTCCCGGGATCATCATATTTGCAATGGCACTGCCTTGATGACCTCTCCGAACTGGAACGATCCTTTTCCTTTTTCCTTTTTTTTTTTTTTTTTGGTGCTATAAGACAGATGATGTATGCTCTTAAAGAAATAAACCACATTCCACACAACATAAGACACTTGAAAGTTGCAGGAATGTTACTATGAATGTGCGTAGCTTCTGCAATTGTCAGTTAAATTCTTTCAGATAATTCTTTCTCTACAACCTTTGCCCCCTAAAGAGCGTGCGGTTAATCACGGTGCGAAATATGTTTCCTCTCTGTAGATTGTATTCCGGAAAATCAGCGACGTGAAACGTGAAGAAGAGGAGAGAATGAAAAGGAAGAACGAAGCACCTCTGATCTTACCACCAGATCACCCAGTCCGCCGGCTGTTTCAGAGGTTCAGGCAACAGAAAGAAGCTCGGCTAGCCGCAGAAAGAGGGAGAGATCCAGATGACCTGGACGTGGAGAAAGGCAACGTTTTAGGCGAGCATTCCTCGGCACGCTCGGTGGTGAAAGCCAGCATCGTAACGGTGCGGGAGAGCCCAGCAACCCCTGTATCGTACCAGTCTGCTTCAACTTCTGGTGCATCTGATCATGCAAAGTTACAGGCCCCGACATCGGACTACACAGGGTGTAAAGTGTCAGGGGATTACCCACGGCGAAAAGGCTGGGCCAAATTCAGAGATGCCTGTGGGAAAGGCGAAGACTGGAACAAAGTCTCTAAAGCAGAATCCATGGAGACTTTACCAGAGAGAACTAAAGCTTCGGGAGAAGCTACCCTGAAGAAGACAGACTCTTGTGACAGTGGCATTACAAAAAGTGACTTGCGCCTGGATAACGCCGGGGAGACGAGAAGCCCGCAGGACCGCAGTCCAGTCCTCGCAGAGGTCAAGCACTCCTTCTACCCTATCCCAGAACAGACTCTTCAGGCTACCATGCTAGAAGTGAGACACGAGCTGAAAGAGGACATCAAGGCTTTAAACACAAAAATGACCAATATAGAAAAACAGCTTGCTGAGATACTTAGGATATTAACCTCAAGAAGGAGCTCCCAGTCACCCCAGGAGTTGTTTGAAATATCAAGGCCCCAGTCTCCAGAGTCAGAAAAAGACATGTTTGGAGCTAGCTGAGGTGTTTCTTTTTAAAAACAAACAAGTAAACAAACAGCCCCCCCCCCAACATTTTAAATGTAATCTTTCTTGATGAAAACCAGTGAGGGACCAGCTCACTAAGCATGTTCCCTGTGTGTAAAAAGGTACGGTAACAGGAATTGCAACCTCATGTCAAGATGGCAGCTGACTGTGAAGCCTTTTTGACAGCAAGGGTACAGTTTATAAAGTTTTTCTTTTCTCCATCGGTGCATATTCCCCCTCCTCCTCCTCTTCCCTCAGAGTTGTGGGAATAAGAGTTCTGACCACAGCAGCCAGCCCAGTGAGCGCCAGGCAACCTCTTAGGTTTTTGGAGCATGCCTTATGTAGTTAGCTCAGTTTTTGCCTATATGATAAGGACTTGCCAGGGTGCTTGTGTTTTCAGCTTTTTTTTTTTTTTTTTGCTGCTGCTGTCACTGTCCCAGTCACCTGTACAGCCTGTTAAATGTCACAGTATATTTTCACGAATCTGTAATAATGGAAAGAACAGTGGGAGGTGTGCATGTCATTTCAGTCAAAAGTATGCTACTTGATATCAAAGTTATTTTGGGGTGGTCAAAGGAGGGCTAAAAAGGTGGAAAGAATGTACGTTTTATTTACATATTAACGTATTGCTAAACTCATTGCATTTAGCAATATCCTCCTGAATAGTCACAGTATTTCACATTTGTTAATAAATGGGATCTTCCACGTTCTCATTCACTGGGCAAGGATACTGATTCTCAAAAACTCAGGTTCTGTCTCAGATGTCTTTGAATATTCTTACCTTTGTCTTAAACAGCTAGAGGAGGAAAGTTCAGATGTGCTGTGTGCCTGAGCACAGCCCATTGTAGCATGTACTGTGATGCATCAGTGTCATTAACCAGTTCTGCAGATCTGATGAGCCATCCTGAAAATATATTGTGGCATTTATGTCCTGTTTTTGCTACAAATCTGCACTTTTAATTCTAGTTAAATTATTTTTCAAAAGTTTCTATTTTGATAATGTTTATTGTAGCCAAAGGCTTTCACAGAACTTTTAAAGATTTCAGACTGTGGCATTTTTCTGTACATCCAAATTTATTTTTCCTGATTTAATCTAGCTAGAAAACAAATGGGTAATAGAGGTAGAAACACAGTGCTTACTGTATGCAAGTGCTATTGTAGCAAGGAAAAAGAAAATCTGCTTCTTAAAGAAGGAGATGTTTTCAAAACTTATATTTTCATAACTTCTTTGGAGGAAGATTCAAGCACTTTATCAAAACTATTATTTGTTATTCACTAAGTAGGGTAGCATAAATGGGATCCTATCAGGGTATAGGTGTATATTCACAGTAAATTCTCTCCACTGATCCAGTATGCTCACTGCTTAACAGTAGGTTAGAGATCAGAAGCATCATGCAACACTTCTGGCTTTTCATTCCTAATGGCAATAAGTCTTTCCACAGAATGGGAGTAGTTAACTCCCGTTCTTCCGTGGTACTAACTCATTTACAAAAAAACCAAAAGTTTCTTTGAAGACTTCATGTTAGGAAAGCAGGAGGCAAGGGAAATGACCAATCTGAGAGGATTGCTGCTGGCCTAATATCTGCATGGTGCGGTGCCGATCTGCATCAGAGGTCGCTGAGCAAGTGCGAGGTCCGTTGGTGAAGTGACGTAGCGTGAGGCTGTGCTGTGCAACGATACTCGCTTAGGTCTTAAAAATCAGTTTATCTGTTTATAGCTGGTCCTGGGGTAACTACCCTGCTCTGAAAGATGCTAATTCTTCTGAGTGCAACACCATAATCCCCAAGTCCAGAGGCAGCTGGGTTAGGATCGGCTTGCAAGGATTTTGCACCCTGGTTCAGTATGCCACAGCCTGTAAGTTCATAGCTAATGATTGAAATACGCCTGAGAAACAGCTATTGGAATCAGATCTGGAGGTTGCTTTTTTCCTCACAAGAAAAGGCATTAGAGAGGGGACTTGCTGTGAAACTCAGGTCCCGTCTCCTAAATTTATTTGTGGTTCCTTGGTTAGCTTTTTCCAGCGCTAACTGGTGTCTTTTAAAGTTATGCACCAAAGACATACAGTACTGAGAAAAGCTCTTTTTGGCCAACATGACTGTCTGTTTGGTGTTTTAATCACTATCAATGACAACAGTTAACTGTAATAGTTGTGTCATGATTACCAGAAAAAATCCATACACTAATGATTTCAATTAGAAACTATTACATGATTTTTCCCTCTAGTCTCCTCAGTCAGTAAATTCACTGAGTAGTGAAATTATGCCTAAGTAAACCACAGATTTACTAATATTTAAGGACTCATAACTGATGCCCCAAAATTCCAGCAACGTTGTATAGAGACTAACTTGGAGCCGGTTTTATAATCCAAGCAAATTGCTCCTCAGCATACGTTCCAACACTCGCTTTTCTCGGTACAATTTTTGGAAGACAGAAAGTCTTGCTGAACTCAGCAGGCACTTTCAGAAAGCGTCACCCGTCTACGTGCAGCTGCACAACAGGGAAATTAAATTATCCCAGGTGGATGAGGGAGGAAATGTTATGACCCCCAAAGCATGTGTCTAGTATCTCAAGTATTGCAGCACAGGCATAGAATTAAATGTGCAGGTGCAGATTATCTCACACCTTGTTTCTGATACTGAGTTCATGTGTTTCAGCTGTGCTTTTCATGTGCCCTCAGGGATATGTTAAAGGTTATTCTGATGTTGCTGATTGCACAGTGCTGGAGTCATGGCAAGATTAACCCTACGAGCCCCATAATTAGCCACACCACCACTCGTAGTACTGTGAATAAAGGAACACAGCTCCCCATTTTCTGGGGTGCTTCTATCGTAGCCTGAAGTTCAGTGCAGTATTGTACCGTTGAGAAACCACAAGCTGTATGACAATGGGTGGGTGCAGCATGGAGTCCATTTTAAGGCCTTTACAAGGCTTTTATAAGAGCCTGTAAAGCCATTTATGATCCATTTGTAGAGCCATCACAGATTGTAATATGCTCTGAAATTACACTCAAAATTTCACGTGTCTGAAGATAAAGGCAAAATCTGATTTTGGCACACGCATGGCATTCCAGAGAAACTCTGCTCCTTACAGCGACAACTGCAGAGCGTCTGCTTGCAGTCAGCGCTGACGGCAGCCGATGTCATTCAGGCTTGCACAGATGTAACTGAGGTCAGACCCCTTTTATTAAGATTTTATGGACTGGAAGATACTAAAACAAGTTGTAGGAGGGTGCCTCATCCCTCAATAACCCCTATATGTTGTAAGAGAATTTGAAAAGAATATATTACTTAGGAGGAGGTTGGAATCTTTGGATTCCCTTGGCTACCAGCTGCTTGAAGTGAGCAAAACCTCGGCTGCAAGGGGCTGAAGTTCACTCCTTTGAACTTCAGACTAATTAGGAGATGTATTGTAGGTGCCCAGGCTCAGGAGATGCAGTAATTCTCCTCTAGAGAGTGACGGAAAGCGCCTGTGTTACAAGTCTGTCTTTCTCCATGGTGAAATTGAGCCTTAAAATTAGATGCCTAAGGCTGGATGGTGTGGGTACCCACTGTAATTGCTACTTGTCCTTTTATTTGTCAGCTTTTCCTTTTTCTGTTGTTTCTCTTGTGTTGGGTAAGCCTTTTCACCGAAATTATTTTTCAGCTTAGAAATGAATGGTCTCTGAACATAAAACTCAGCCCCTTTACAACCAAATGTTTGGACATACCATAAAAAAGGAAAAAACAAAAACCCCTCAGTTTTAACAGTGTTCTAGCATAGTGCTTCAGCCATTTAACAACCTGCTAAAGAACCTGTGCTTGCCAAAAGGACACTGTCTTCTCCTTTTTTACCCTGCGCTGGAATTAGATTTGAATCCAAAGCGGGTAGTTCTGAGGAGGAATTTGGGTTATGATTTGGTAAAATGGGAACTTCTAGAAGTTTGTGCTTAAAGTATTGAAAGAATTAAATATTAAAAAGTATACCTGTATTTGGTACAGGATTAAAAAAGCAAAAACCAACCCCCAACCCTACTGTGTTCAGATACATTTACTTCTGCCTGGTATTACTGATATACTTGTAAAAACACCATTCTTGCTTTAAATCTCATTCACAGTGCTGCCCTGAATCCCAGCGAACACCCTGTTTAACAGCTTCGAAGGTGATGTTCTGCTTCTACGGTACTTCACTTTAATGAACCGAACGAGATATTTGCTGTGCATAACTGGTGATATTTTTCCAATTGCTCTTAAGCAGTTTGTGAAACAATGTAATACATGATTTATCTTTACTATATAAACAACAGTGTGTACGACTACACTTGTGCAGACGTGTGTATGCACACACACACACGCACATATATATATATATAATGTCTGCGTATAGATAAGTCTACCAGTTGCGTTTCTGTTAAGTAACAGCACATCCCTCATTTAATGATTATGGTTCAAGAAGGGAACTTAAATCTTCCCAGCAGATATCCACTGAATGTCCTAGTTAGTATATTGTTTGCTAATTGCTGAACTTTTCAGGCCATGACTTTGCTTCAGTTTCTCCCACTGGGCCTCAAGTTTTTGTTGTTAGTCTGGCTAATACAGTGACTGAGACACGACCTGGCAAGCGTTGCGATAGCCAGCAACCAGGAATACATGGGGAACTGCAAACGTCCTGTTCATAGCTGGTGGGAACATGGCGCATAAGCCATCATTTGTTGCTCCCTCAGTATCTCCAAAGCTAAGTTGATGTGGTAGCGATTCTCATGGCTTCTCCTGCAGGAGGGACTGTGGAATAAATGGATTTCTTTCTCCTGGTACCAGGGGCTGTCTCTAAGGTGCTGAGCCTCTCCGTCTCTTCACGGGCAGTGTAACGCCTTGTCACTGCACCTCTGCTTTCTTTTCCTGGTATTAGGTGTTGAAAAGCTCTACTGAATTCTTCATTTCCACGTAGTCTCCTGTGGGTGTATTGGCAATAACAAAGTCTGTACTTCAGCTGCACTTCTGATTCATAAAGACAAACCTTTCAGAGAGAGTCCCATGCAGGGAAAGCTCCAGAAATTTGAGGTAGGGTATAGTAGATTACTGTATCCTGTAATCTGATTTAGTTTTGACCACATTGTTGTGGCAAGCATTGATTCAATTAAATAAAAATAAAGCTTTTTGCAATAAGATATATTCAACATTTAGCCTTAAGACCCTGTCATAAGTGATATAATTCAAACTGTGATTCCATTCTACTTCCTTCTTAATGTTCTGTAGTATTTACAGTGTGGCCTAAAGATAAAGCACTTTGATTAGCTTTCTAAATCTAATGGAAATCACTTGTTGGTAATTACGTTTATTTCTCCACTTATTGCCTTCTTATTAGTATAATAAATTACTCCAATAGCCCTCTCCCCCTTACAAAACAGAGAGACATAATTATTGTCTAAACACTTTTGTATATCAGGGAGCCAACCCGTCATATC